ACTCTTCAAAGGAGACGGAAAAGGAGTGGCCCTTCCTCCATTCCTGGGCAGGCACTGGTGTTAGAAAGTTTTGAACTTCCAAAGGTCATCTTTGGCCACCCTCATGCTGACTTCAACTGTATGGATGACTCCAATATTTAACACCCCGAGAGGTCCAGGTATTTTTTAAAGAAAGAGTACAGCTACTACTCTACTTGGCCAACTTTAACAAAAACAAAAACCAATCAACCAACCATTTTGTGTTGAGTAAGAAAAGTTACTTTGGGGCAGGATGCTTCAGGTACAGAGGAGCTCTTAAATGAGTCCCCTATACACTGCTCCTGCCTTTTGAAGCAGGTGAACAAAGGAGACCATATGTTTCTCACAAGGGAAGGCCAAGGACCAGAAAGGTTGGTTTTAGGTAAGGGAATTGAATGCAGTCCTGGGTGCATACCACTGAGGACTGGGGAGGTGCCCAAATTTATAAACAGGCAATCACGGACCAGGAAGTATTCGGGGTCCAATCTTGAAGGTAAGTACTCAGTCCATGTTTGCAGAACAAATAGGGATCCCAGGAAATTCCATGTAGATTTAAAAAGACTAAGAAAACCAATCTACTCCATGGGAGTCAGGTTCAGAGATGTTTAATTTCAGTTTTCAAAACAGAGGTGAGTCTTTTTGAAGAGAATATACCTCTTAGGATCAGGAGATAGAAATAAAAAATACCTGATCATCTCTCTTATCTCTCTGAAAGTTTGGGTGTAAATTAGAACCTTTATGTCTCTCTAAAATCACATCCATTTTCCGAAACAAAAGGGCTCTCGTGTATTCTGAAACTTTCAACCCACAATGTGCATGTGTGCGTGGGAGATGGGGTGTGGGAGGGTACTTCCATCTCATCTCAGCCTCCCCAAACATCAGGACAGAGTCTGGTGAGGAAAAGGTAAGAGATGTCGGCATTCTGAAAAGGTACAGCACAGTGCATTAGCTCCAACGCAGACATCCACAGCAAAACCACACTCATTAAAACCTATTCAGAGGCCTTTCCTAAGAACTACAAACATGAGGACTCAAGTTGACAACAAAACCCTCACTCAGTTTTAAGACCTATTTTAAGTTTCAAGACCTGCTTGTCATATTGTGGTGACTCATGTGTTGCTATGATGCTGGAAGCTATGCCAGTGGTATTTCAAATGTCAGCAGGGTCACCCATGGTGAAACAGGTTTCAGTGGAATTTCCTGACTAAAATAGACTAGGAAGAAAGGCCTGGTAATCTACTTCCAAAAATCAGCCAATGAAAACCCTGTGGATCACAAAAGAATACTGTCACATATAGTGTCAGAGGATGAGCCTCCTAGGTTGGGAGGCACTCAAAATACACAGTAGCTGCAACAACGGACTCCAGCATGCCAACAACTGTGAAGATGATGCCAGATGGGGCAATGTTTCCTTCTGTTATACAAGGTTCTCTGCTTCTACCTTGCATCTAATCTCTTTTATATCTCAAGAGATTGACTCAAAACATACTCTACATTAATCCTGTCTCATTAACATAACAAAGAAAACCCATCCCAAATGGGATTATAATCACAGGCACAGACGTTAGAAATTACAACATGTATTTTTGGGGAACACAATTCAATCCATAACACGTGGGGTCACCATGGGTGGGAGCCAACTTGACAGCAACTAACAAGAAGTTTTAAGACGCCCCTAAAACTAACTAAAAAGGGCTATTTTCTATGAACGGGAATAAACACCTATGCCCTGAATTTCCTAACTTGGTCCTACTTCTATTCATCTCAACCAGCAAATCGAGCTTCTCTATGCCAGTCACAATCTTCTAAGGAGTGCCTGAGTGGTACAAGCGGTTAAGTGCTTGACTACTACTTAAAAGGCCAAGGGGTTGAACTCAGCCAGAGGCATCCCGGAAAGGCCTGGTGATCTGCTTCTGAAAGGTCCCAACCTTGAAAGCCCTATGGAGTTCTACTCTGCACACATGGAGTTGCCGACTGGACAGCAACTAATACCACCACCACCTCCTGACTATTCCAAACTCCTTCCTTCTCACTTTTTTCTCCACTGGAAATAGTCATTCCTTCTTCAGTGATTTCACTGCACAGCACTAAGGTCTTACTTCTCTATGTACTATTTGGGGCCCTTGGGCTGAGATTATGTACCATCATTCCATGAGATTATGTCTGTCTTCCTGATCCCTCCATCCATAGGAAGCTTTCTGAAGGTTAGGTAGGGACTTTTTGTTTCAAATGTGTTTCTCCACTCTCAAGCTCACCCTCCCTGCCCCTCTTTCCTTTCAGTAGGTTCATATAAAATGCTTGCTAAATTTAACATATGAAATGCACTGCCATTGAGTCATACCCGACTCACAGTGAGGACTGGGGTTTCCGAGGCAGTATCACTACAGAAATAGATGACCCAACCTTCCTTCTAAGGAGCGGCTGGTGGGTTTGAACCACCAGCCTTCTGCTTAGCAGTCAAATGTCTTAGGCACTATGCTACCAGAGCTACCTTTGTTGTAGCAATGCTGCCTGGGTTAGGGCCCATCTCCTCAGACACCTTATTTGATGCCTTATACCTGAGATTGCTTAGTACCCCCCCCCCACCCACACCAACTCAGAAAGAGCATGGACTTTGAAATTAGACCTAAATTCAAATTCCAATTCTACCACTTATTCTCAGTATGACTTTGGGCCAGTAACTCTGGGCCTGTTCCCCCAACTCAATGGAGTGTTTAACAGATGAAAGAAGGTACTGCTCATGAAACATCTAGTACTGCAACCTACATATGTTGTTAGTTACCAGTGGAACTGATTCTGAATCACGGGGCTCCCTGTGTTTAGAGTAAAACTGCTCCACAGGGTCTTCAAGGGGTCACTATGAGTCGGATCAGACTCGAGAGCAGTGAGTATCTTGAAATCGGATCATCAAGCCTTTCTTCCCAGGCGCCTCTGAGTGGGTTCATACAGTCAATCTTTAGGCTAGTAGTTGAGCACTTAACCGGTTACACCACCCAACTGGCAGCTCCTTTCCCACCTCCCACCTTAAGGTAAAAGGTTTCACTGCTCCTTTAAAAAAAAAAAAAAAAATTAGCATGGCAGTGACAATCAGTAACTCTCAATTCACGTCGGAAGGCACATTCTTCCCTAAAGGCAAAAAGGCACTATGCAACCAACTCAAGCTTATCAACATTCCCGGTCCTGGGAAGTGGAGTGCAGGGGACAGACAGGGAAAGCAAGCGAAATGAACAACGATTCCTTGTCAAACCTGCAGACATCAGGCTATACCACTTTACTGCGGTCCTGCTCCCAATGTTTACAAACTTTGCAAAGACGGACATATCACCAGGAACTTTCCCTTTCCCTCTCCAACCCCCAGCTGGTCTGGCCAGTCCCCCGGAGTCGTCAGGCGGGCACTCCCCTACACTCTTCGGCCCCGGGGGGAGACTCACTGCCGAGGCCTTTGTCCTGGTCGAGCAGGGGCTCTAGGTCCCTCGCTTGTTGCGGCAACTCCTCCGCGGATTCCGCCACCACCTGCGAGCCCAGCTCGGGTGGAGCGTCTCCCTCGGGCTGCCTGTCGCCTACCGACGGCGCGCCGTCCGCCGCCGGCTGCTCCAGGCCAAACCAACTGCTCAGACCCCGGAACATCCCGCCCGCGGGGCCACCGCCGCAGTCCTGGTCCCCAGAGAACCCCAAGAGTGTCGTCCGCTCAGGACCCTCCCCAGTTCGTCTTCCAAGGAGATAGCCGGAAGTCAGAGCGATCTGGGAACGGGGCCCATAGGTCTGCGCCTCTATGGCAACGCCTCTGTCGGCCTGCGTGCGTCACTTCCGGCAGGAAGTCCCCAGCCGCGCCGATCATGGATTTCAATAACTTTATTGTCCACAGAGTGGACAAAAAGCTTTTGCTGGGTGTCTCTGTTCAGCCACCTTTCCAAGTTTTGGAGTGTCTGAGCCCCGACCTAGGCGTGTGGACGGCGGTTTCTTTGCCACAGCCCTAATTTGTTTCTGAGGAGTTTGGAGACTTAGCCTCACCTGTTCAGGTCCGGCTGGGCCAGGCCACCACAGAAATAGATCGCTTTAGCCTCCTCATGAGCCCAATCAAAACTGGCCCAAGGACTCTAAGTCCAACTAACAATTTCCAGGGAACATAGAGACTTTGGAAGATGTTGAAAGACACCACGTGATGCAACCAGCAAAATCCAGACTGTAAGAAACCGCAGGACAAGCGACCCTGCTTCTCCAATTAAATTGCAAAGAACAAAGAGAGATGGAGAGGGAATTTACTTGATTAAAATAACACTTAAAAGATGTAACCCATGGACCATAGTCGCAGGGGACATCAAGCTCAATTGGCATAACATACTATACAAAACATTGTTCCACCTACTACTTTGGCGAGTAGCGACTGG